CTAAACACGCTACTGCATACACTTTTGTTTTTATCGAAATCTGTTGGGAGGAAAACTTTAGCCGGCCCACATCCTTCTTTTCTCCGAAAATCTGGCCTCTATGGGTTGTTTTGTTTTTATAGCATCCGATAGCTCGGCTAATGTCACTCCTAGGAGATCGCTGACAACTGAAACAGCTCTGAAGTCGTGTTTACGCGAGAGCTCAACATCTTTCCATGCCGACGGCGATGCAACTGAGTTGACACCGTCCCGAGTGAAATTCGGCGAAATCAAGGTAAACGAGGTCGACGGACTAGGGGCGTGTTCTGGAGACAATTTGCCATCTCTGTTCTCGCCAAGAATTACTTCATTTGATGATTCAAGCTCAGATGGGGATGAATATTGTTGACTGACGCAAGAAGAGATCATTTAAACCTTTGTATTATCTGTCAAAAAGAAGGCATTAGTAGATTATCAGAATATATGCTTTCCAACTTCATTTATCAGCTTTAGTAATAAGGTCTCAACGTGGCTAATTTATATTAAATTAACTTAAAGTATGATTAGTTTTCGTAGTTGTAGTGATTAAATTTTATACTCGATATTTTGTCATTTGATTTAGCGCTATTGAATAGTTTTTGTTCCGACCAATTAAGTAGGTAAAAAATAACCCTAGTTGTTTAAACCTTATTTGCAAAAACTTGTACCAGAAGAACTGTACGCAACAATTCGTAACATAACAGATTCACGCGCACTATCCTCGCGAATGTTAGCGCAGCTCAGCGAAGACGAACAAGCGTTTGATACTTGCCAAATACCTCATCACGAATCGTTGCTTATTACCAGTTGTCGACTTGCCGAATTTTTGCCAAGCTTGAATGAAAAAATTTTTGGTTTGACAAATTTTATCCAATTGGTATCAATTTTTTACTCTACTGTGACTCAAAATCTTCATTGAAAAGTTTCTTCATTTGAATTCTAGAGAAAAAAAAGAAAATCATTTTTAATCGAGAATCGTTTGGTCAGATCATGCAGTGCAAATTGCTCTGAAAGTACGTTTCTTTGTTTGAACTATTTTAACTTTGTTTAGCAGAATAAATGTGTCGTATATTTAATAATTTTGAAAAAAAAGGTTCTTCAAATTGCTTAGTTTTTTGTACAGAAGGGATCTCAAGTAAATCAATGATGCGTTAAGTGATTCCTGTTTCTATAGACGTAGTTGTGAAACGGGCTCAGATCAACTCACTGTTAAACGTGCTCCACCTCAGCCTAGTTTTTTAGTCTTTCATTGTTGGATGACAAGATAAAACTTTCTTGAAGATGCTGTTGGCTGTCATCGAAAAGTTACAGAGAAAAGAGGTACTAAAATTATTATTTTTCACCAAAAGCCTGACATGTGTTTCTGGAATTATGTCTCAATTAGAAGATGAGTCGTTTCAGACAATAATGATTCACAAAAGTACAATATAATGATTTCTGCACAAACTCAATTAGCACTGGTGGGCGTATCTAGCAGCCTTTTTCTGGCATACTGTGTATATTTTGACAGAAAGAGACGGAGCGCTCCCGACTTCAGAGCGAAGCTGAAAGCGAAGCGTGAAAAACAACGGCAAGAACTAGAACGAAAGAATGCAACCCAGTACCCTGATCTGAGAGATGAGGCTGCTATGCAAAGATTTTTCTTAGAGGAAATTCAACAAGGAGAGGAGCTTTTAATGCGGGGAGAAATTGAACAAGCTGTGGTTCATTTAGCCAATGCAGTTGTAGCGAGCGGTCAGCCGAATCAAATTTTGAACCTTTTAAAGCACAGCTTACCCCCTGAGGTTTTAAAAGCGGTGGCTGAAAAGTACCCGTCAGTTGCACGTGATATGATGAAAGCATCAGGAGTGCCGGTCATTGGCATGCAAGCTCCATCGTCTGCAAGGCCGGCGACGGCTAAGCCGAAAGCTGTATTGCAAGATGACGATGACCTCGAATAACTATTGTAGACTCTTTTAATTCTGTGAATACGTTATTGCCGGCCATGATAAAAGTGTAGTCGATGTCAATAAAATGTACTTGAGCCCTAAAGTTTTTTAAAACTAAAATATTCTATGAGATCTGAAATCGTTTGAAGTAGCAAGCTACTTATATTGTTTTATATTTTCAGATTAGATAGTCTATTAAGATTGTGTTTGACCTGACATATCACTAATTGGACGAGGCAAGTGCAATAACCAAAATCTATAGGCAATCTTCTGCTGGTGCTATTTTAGGAAAACCATTTTACCATTCCTGTAACTAATTCGAAACGTTATCTCATACCTTTCTGAAATTGCATCGATTAGAAAAATTGAACCAAGTGTTTGGACATATTTTTACAAAGAAGAATAGCAAAAAGATGTCGAGTGGCATTAACATCGACGAAGATGTGTACAACAAGTGTTCGGAGCAGGTACTGAGACATGTCTACAAATGGGTGTCTTACAAGGTAACGTGTGCTTGTAAAACCATTGATTTTAATTTAAAAGCGAAGTCATATGATACTTCAAGTTTTTACCTTTGTCTGCTTTGTGGTAAGCACGGGTGTTGCAATCGGGTACTAGACTTTTTCCCATAAAGAAAAACTTTCACAAAATTCGCATGTAAAAACGTTATACGTGCTTTATTTGCGTTTTTATAAATTCAAATATCATTCTGCGCAGTGGTAGCACCCATTCTTGAGAAGAAAAAGGCCAGTGGTTCGAGTCCGGTTGGGACAAAAAGATGATTTTTGTGAAATTTGGGTTCGTCTGTCTGCTTATTTTTTGGGCTTTGTTCCCACAAAACTGACTTTCTTCGAGCGTTAAGCTTTTCGCTAACATTTCAAATGCTATTTGTTTAATTTTAAACGATGCAGGTAACTGTGCTCCAATTTTTTTTTGCGATTCTAGTTTTTTGACAATCATTTTGATTGTTTGACAAAACGATTGAAGGTTTAATTTTCATTTTTCGATTCATCTGCTCTTAATCTTAGTCATTTATTTTTTTTTATTGCAAATGAAGCAAAGCCGATATAGCTGAATTTTTTGTTTACAGACATCTCACAATTCAGTAATGCGATCAACTTTGCAGCACCTCTGTGTAAAGTTTTTCCGCTGTTCTACATGGCGCTTTGACTTTTGATTACTTCGAATTTACCTGATTTCAATTTTATTTTCCAAGTTGAGCTAGACGACCTCTAATACGCTGAATGCTAATATCAGAAATAGTAATGCTACTGGGCTTTATTTCAATCGCGAATTGAACTTAAGAATTCCCAGCAGAATAAACAAATACCCATTATCCGTTTTTTTAAATTTGGTATTTTAATGAAAAAGGTTTCAACCTAGAGTATATTTAAATTGAATGGATCTATCTAGCCATTTCCCCCTAATGACAAAGGGAGGATTTCGTTACTAAGTACAAAATCCGCATAAGCTCAACCATTGAATTGGTTTTTTATAGTGGGTGGGGTTTTTAAGTAACAATAACCGCAGTGACGACATAAATCGTGGTGATTGTTTATCACTCTCAGATGTGCCTTTTTTCATCCCCTTATACTAATCATACCCTTATTCTGCTGTAGGTGTCAGATGACATGACTAGTATAGTGGTGGACCAGACTGCTCCAGCCGTGAAAATGGACAAGAGCTCGGACGAGCAGAAGTACTGGGACAAGTTCGCCATGTTCTCAATAGGCGGAGACGAGCCAAGGTAGATAGTTAACTTAAACGTGTTCATAAGATTTATATAGTGATGATTTTGTTCTGAAACTTTCTTATGCTCAAAGGACAAAAAAAATGCTCAAATAAGCTGATTTTGGTCCACGGTTTTCACGCTCAATAGTGATTTCCGCGGTTTGACTAATGATTTCTTCAGTTCAAATCAAATTTGTTTGCTGGAATGAAGGCAAATTACGCTCCAATATCAAAAGTTAATTAGTGGTAAAAAAACTTTTTTAATATAATATATACAGAAGTGGACAAAATTAAACTCAAGTTTGGGTTTTACTATCTAAAATGCCTGTTTTCAAGGGTCATTTACTGGGAATTAACTTTCAAAACTTAATTTTATCTTCGATTGTGATCAAATGATCTTAGCGACCCTCCATGAAAGTGTCGGTGTTTAGTTTTAAAGACCTACCGCTTCATTCTGGGTATCCAACGCCGAGTTTTTAATATAAAAATTTTTTAAATTAAGCTAAATCGTAGTCGTGTGCAGGTTTTTGAAGTTCATTTAGCTGAAGTTTTTAAGCTGTTCTGATCATTGACCTATCCGTATTCAGGTTTTTTACGTACGATTTCCACTACTTTCTGAATGACGGAGGAAAGCGGGAGAAAATGATTCTTCTCTGCTGGGTTCCGGACACATGCAAGATGAAGATGAAGATGATCTACTCGACGAGCAAAGACGCTTTCAAGAAGGCCCTCAAAGGTATCTCATTCACCACGGAGATACAAGCTAACGACAAAGGAGACCTGGATTTCGCAGAAGTCAGGTCCAGAGTGGCGAGAGCCGACAAAGAATTCATGTGAACAAAATATCTGACTGGACTTGAACTGAATCTAAATATGCTTTAGTACTTGTTTTTTAAACTTTGATGTATGAAGACCCGATGAATTGAACGAGAAAAAGATCCCGAATCATTTTTAATACTGTCTGTGTTAAAACGTTAGATATAATGGAGTTTTGAATACATATCTGATATCTGAGCGACTTTAGACTTGATGGTTAAATTGATATCATTATGCTTGAACAATGTGCAATATTGTCTGGAAAGTTCTGAGGAAGTATATTATCATGCAATTAATTTTATTTTTGATTTTAATATTTTCTAATTACATTACCTTGCAGAATTTTTTCGACAGCGATTTTTTTTGCTAATTTTCATGATTAATGTTCAAAATAACGATAATATCGGTTCGAAATAAACAACAGGATAGTTTCTTAGCAAAAATCAGAGGCGGTCAAAAGAGTGGCCGAAGAAAATTGAGTATTTGCTGAGCGAAGTTGATGTTATATCATATAATCTGGCGCATTCTGCAGTTGAAATAAGCTGAGAACATGATGATAGCAGATATGTGGACTACAGATGCAAATTTGTTGATCGATTGGGCCAAGTCTTTCCAAGTGTAGTCAATCTTAGGTGTCTCCTTGTCAAAAATGGTGCTGATGTTTTTGTTTGAAACATCATTTAGAAGCATCGGCGTCTCCGCTTTGTCACTCGGTTCGTTATTCTCAGCTTTAACCGGTTGATTCCTTAAACAAGAACTAAATAAGATCGAATGATAAGCCACTAATGTTTTTAAAAGCTACTACTGATTTTGAAAGCTCATAAACGGCTTCGTTTACCCACGAGTTAGCGCAAACTCAGCTCCTCTTTTGCTTCAAACCTAGGCATAAATTTTTATTGAAAAGCCATTGTGGTTTCTGACCCAGATTTTTTCAACCACTAAAAGGTACCATTAACCTAAGATTAGTGTTCCACGCGACTGAGCTACCACAAAAAGAGCACGTAAATGATCAAATGGGCAAGCGCGTTAACAAAAAAAATTGATAAGACGAGACCCGCAGATCAATTTTATTTGCAATTTATTTTGATAAAAAAATTGATTGTCTTTTCGTTATTTTGATGAAAAATCGAAAGGAAAAAATTCTTCAATGCGATAACTGGTGCCTTCTAAATAAAAAGATAGTGACCAATGATGATTTCCGACCAATGATAATGCAGCAAACAAAGAATTGTTGCTAGGATGCCCAAGAGCTAATTAATTGTTTTAATTTACAGTGGTGGAGATTTTAAGTACAAGCCAAAGGGGGGAATTGTAAAGTCGATCCGATCTTTATCTTTATGTAAAGAAATAGACGGAAAACCCAGGCAACGTGATCTTCAAGAGTTGGATCAGATTTTCAATATCAAAACAATTTACAAGGAAGCACAACTGGATCTTCCCGAGTTCCCCCACCTCAAGTAATCATAAAAAAAATTGACGTTACGATTGGTTGTAGAAGATAAGGTATGATAACCAGATATGCTCGTAATGAGAGAAATAGCCCCGATGTCTTCCACTATAATGGGACCTTCCGTAGAAAGTTTTCAAGTTGAAAGTGGAAGGTTGGAGAAAGAACCCACAAGTGTAGAAAAGACTCAAAAAGGCCTATAACTACAAACTCGAGGGGGACCTCGAAAAAATCAGCATAGAAGCAGGGAAACTTGCAGCTGACGGGAATGCAAACAGATATCTTTTGCCTAAGGCGTCAATTGCCCGAACTCCTACGCAATAAGGCTTGCCTGCACCCAAAAAAGAAGCAACTATGACATAAACTAAAAATAATCTTAATATAGCTCAACCATGAAAATTTTCCAGTTTGAATGGGTTCCGTACACAGAAAAACAAACAAATTTTTGCGTTTTGACAAAATGACTTGTGAAATAATGTATGGTCGAATGTAAATACTACACAACTCGACTTATGTATAAAGTTTCACCCACACGCAAATTTTTGTCGCCTTTCGTCCCTCAAACTATTACACCGTCTATTTTACGGGTCCCCTCAGATTGTTAATTGACTATAATAATCAGTATTAAATTGTGAAATAACGTCATCAATAAACTTTTCCGATGCTCTGTACCTTTTTTATCTGTGACTTTCAAAAAACTAGAATCTAGTGCAAGTTTAATGCCTTGATCAAGTGTAACTATTACCGTTATAGCTTGAAAGAACTTATTGTTCGGATTTTTTCCGGCTTTTTGGTGTGGTTTATGCTTCGTAGTCGTTGTAGTTCTTGTTCTACCTTTGTTTGTCAATTGATTGTTTTCGTCTCTATTCTTGATGCATGGCTGTGCATGTTAATCAAAAATTTGATTGTACCGTGAAGTTAGTTGCTAATCCCAACCTGTTGACTCACACTTTAATTGTTTGTGCCAACTCCAATTTATGTCACATTTGTCCAATTGTCCAAAAATTTTCCCATTTTATTACCTAGATCCTGTGATAAGAATCAATTCATATTATTTTTTGTCCAGGCTTTTCCCAGGTTTTTCGTTGAAAGTATTGTATTTCGCATCTTTTGCCAATTCGATTTACGTTTTTTTTTTGCTAGATTGATTGTAAGTTCTAGACTTGTTTAGGTATTTAGTGATTTTAGGACGTTGTTTTTATATCACTTAACCATCTATCCTGCGATGTGACTAAAGGGCATACATGAGCCAAATCTCAAAGTGTAGCATATAATAAATCGCAACACTCATTCCCCCCTCGATTTCTCGACAGGAGTATGATTATATTGATGGCCATGTTTCGATGGGTTTTGATCAAATCTTCCAGCATCTCCTGTCCGTAGTCCAAAACAGTGACTTTCTAACCCGTAATCTTGATATTAGCGCATATACTTTGTAATATTGATCTTCTTTTTGCCTCCAAGAATTTGAGGAAGTCTTAGTTCACTCTTCTTTTAGCGAAAGATCATGGGATAATCCGTATAAAAACTTCAATGGCTCGGATCTTACTGCATTTTTTTCCATTTAGTTATTAGCGCAAAGGGTCGCAATCCCCCGTTCCCTAATTGTCAGGTTGGTCGCAGGTGCGTAAGCCTTTTCTTCAATGGGCTGCTCGGGCAGTGCAATTTCTGTTGGTTTTTCCCTGCAGATGTTCCTCTAGGTCTATGCCTGACAATAGCTAAAGTGACGTGATTCTTCCAGCTTTCCCATTTACCAGTGGTTTTTTGTCGGTGCGTCCCAGAATGCCTTTATTCCGAGTTGAGTTTTCGCCAATGTTGGCTGCGCCATGTAGCGAGAAAGTTAAAAAGCGTATCCTAAGTACCGGAAACTGACTACACGTGGTCTTTTTTGCCATTATTGTATCGCTTGTCGAACAAGATAGTCGAAATTAGTAATCGAAACTGAATTCCATGAAGATAAAACAAATCTTAGATAAAATAAATCTTAGAACTCTTATGTTACTTAAATGTTAGATAAAATTTTGACTGTGCCGGGAAATAAGTTAATAATCCCAACCTGTTGACTTTATTCTTAAGTATTTGTTAAATTTAGTTTTAGGTTGTATTTTTCCAAGGATGTTTCCATTTTTTGATATCTAGATTTTGTGTTGCAAATCAAGTATAACGATCTGTTGTCTTTTGGAGCACTAATTGTTTCGGGTAGTCCTGACCCGGAAACAGTTTGGGTCCATTGTCCGTGACCTAGTAGATATAGGCACCTTCCACGGCCAGCCTGATGAGTGGAGCCAAGGACTAACGTCCTATATGTCTTGATGGCTTCATGGTGATGTTTTTACCGCTGGCAGGTTCTGCTCCGAATTCCAGATGGATTTGTTACTTGTTCCCAGCACCTTTTGAGCCATTCAATTTGTGGCTAAACTCGGCCATTATCTGCTATGAATTTAACTTCGACTTCTTTGATTTTGACTCGAAATGTATGCCCTTCAAATAACTCATTCGTTGTCGCGCTCATATCGTCTTGTTCGCACTCATTGCATAACACACAACACATACAGTCTTCTGACGAGGAATCACTATATTTTTAGTTCGACAATGCGAGATTGTGACTGGTTAAACTGTAATCTTGGTATTGCACATTGGTTTGTAATTTTGATCTTCTTTCTTTGACCAAGTAATTTCACTCTTGTTTTAGCAAAATTCCATGTGATAATCCGTATAAAGACTCCAATGGCTCGGATTTTTTTGCATACGTTGTCCCGTTTAGTTGTTGGCGCGACTTTTTAACCCGTAATCTTGATACCAACGTATTTGCTTTGTAATAATTATCTTCCTCGTTCCCCCAAGAATACAAGGAAATGTAATTTTACTCTTCGCTTATCAAAATCCCATGACTAAATTCGGATAAGGACTACAGTGGCTCGGATCTTTTTGCATTCGTTTTCCCATTGACTAATTAGCGCGAAGTGTCGCAATCCCTGTTCGCTTTTTGACTGGTTGGTCGGACGTGCATAATCTGGTTCTTCAATGATCTGCTCGGGACCGTGCAATTTATTTTTGTTTGTTCCTGCAGATGATATTCTAGGTCCCTGCCCGATAAGGGCTAAAGTGATGTGTTTCTTCCATTTTGCCTATTTACCAGTGGTTTTTTGTCGGTCCTTTCCTCAATGCATTTTTTCCGAGTGGAGGTTTTTGATATGCTGACTGCGCCATGATGCGAGGAAATTAAAAAGTGTTTCCTAAATATCGGAACTGACTATCCTTGGTCTCTTTTCCTATGAGTGCATCGAAGTTGAATTTCAACAGATAAAATTTCATGCGAGCTCTTAGATAAAACTAATGCTAGTTCAAGTTAGTTCAAGAGCAAGTTCAAATTGAAAAATCGCTCAGAACGCGATTCGTCAGTTTGACCTCGACACTGTGGTTGAATTTATCTAGATTACCAAAAGTAATTTACTGCAAAATCAGAATAGTATACAGCATATAATACATACATGAGCATATAGATACATGTAGATATATTTATCTGTTCCTAACTGATATCACTTAGGTCAACCCAAAAAACGTGAAAGCAATTTAAAATCAGACAGTTTAATGAATTGCTTCCAATAATAACAATGACTGGAATATTCTGTGCTAGTTTTACAACGTTTGGCATCTCTTGTTTTAAATTGATTCAATTTGTTTTCATTTGATTTAATTCAATTTAATTATTTTTGTTTTAAATTGTGTTAATTGCAAACGAAAGACAAAAAATTGTGCAAAATTCAGTTTTAAACGTAAAAATCAATGAAAAAACAAAAATCATGCTGCAACTTTTTTAAAAAAAACTCACAGGGGAAAATGAAACAGAACTTCGTAAAAATCCCTGGTATTATTATTTGAAAAAAAAATATCGATGATTATAGAAAGTTCATTGTGTGACAAAGCCAGTGTAAAAGCCTTTATAAATATCAGTTACGACAAAAAACGGCGAAAATGTTTCTGTAAGTGAAATTTTATCAACCAGTTGACTTGTATGTGTCTTGTTTACACGCAACTTTATAATTTTTTACGAAACATTTTTCTATTTGCAATCGTGTATTTGTTTTTTTTTTGTATAAATGATTTCCGTTTGACGTCCCATCAATAGCAAAATATCCTTCAAATGTAATGTTTTCCATGCTCCCTGAATTAGTAGATTTTGGTTTCTCTAGTCTTTTCTAATTTGTGGGTTATGGGAATGGCATATAGCATATCTACTAGTATATATATGATACATAAATAAATGATATGCTATATGCCATTCCCATAATCCACAAAAGTAGAAAACACTAGAGAAACCAAAATCTAATTCGGGGAGCATGAAAAACATTACATTTGAAGGAATTTTGCCATTGATGGGACTTCAAACGGAAATCATTTGCCTCAAGAGTGATTTTCCCTTTTTCTTGCAGACTTATTCTTGCCTCGACTCAAAAAAGCAGCTTTGACAACAGCTAACTAATAATGTGAAAAAAGCACAAAACCATTCAAATTAGTATCAGCAGTTCCAATTCCTTACTCAGAAAAACAAATATACGATTGCTAATGGAAAAATAGTCGGAAGAAACTATAAAGTTGCGTGTAAACAAGACACATACAAGTCAACTGGTTGACAAAATTTCACTTACACAAACATTTTCGTCGCTTTTTGTCGTAACAGATATTTATAAAGGCTTTTAAACTGGCTTTGTCACATAATTAACTTTCTATAATCATCGATGATTTTTTTTTTCAAATAATAATACCAGGGATTTTTACGAAGTACTGTTTAATTTTCCCCTGTGCGCTTTTTTGTTAAAGAAGTGCAGCATGATTTTGGTTTTTTCATTGATTTTTACGTTTAAAACTGAATTTTGAACATTTTTTTGTCTTTCGTTTGCAATTAACACAATTTAAAACAATTATAAGTAAATTGAATTAAATCAAGTTACATCAAATGAAATCAAATTGAATCAAATTAAAACAAGAGATGCCAAACGTTGTAAAACTAGCACAGAATTTTCCAGTCATTGTTATTATTGGCAGCAAGTTCATTAAAACTGTCTGATCTTAAATTGCTTTCACGTTTTTTGGGTTGACCTAAGTGATATCAATTAGGAAGAGAATGGCAGCGGCTATCTTTATGCGCTAATTCCGGGAAGCAATCTGAAAAACAAGCAAGCTTGGTGTTGGGATTCTGAATCATGAATGATAATTTTTTATCAAGGTATCTTAAAGGGTACCTTGAAGGTAGCTGATTTTTCTGTAACTTTCCAAACAACTCCATTGTTCCTTTTGGGTCAAAATTGACTGTAAAACTTTCGTTTGTGGTCGTATTCTACATTCAGATGATAATGAAGACTTTGTTCAACAGTATTATTTTATTATTTGATAAAAACTTGATTTCCTAAGCTCTAAATAACATAACAAAACTTAACAGTTTTAAATTTTGATGAAGAATTTGTATTGTTTTTTATTTTATTCTTGATTATCATACTCGGAATTGATGAATAGTATTATAAGTCTAAACTAAAAATTTAAAACTCAAAATATGAAGAAAATTTCTTAAAATCTGAATAAAATCAGGTTTCTTTTTTTCTGGAAGATTTTTGATTAACTTTTTTTTTGTTAAAAACCACTTGAAGGAATTGATTTCAACCTGAAGAAAAACAAACAAGAAAACAAAACCAATCACGAGGTAATACCAACCAGAAATTTATACACCCATAATTGATTTTATTCCATGAGAGTTTTTGTAAGAAAACAGGAGGTTTTTGTTGAATGTTTTCGTACACAAATCTATTTGGCAGTACGTTTAAAATGAGATACTGAAAATGATAATGACACAAATAATCGAAAAAACAAGAGTAGCCAACTGCTCCAAAATTAGCCCTAATTCTTTTGGCTACTGCGGTTAATGCAACTGAATCTTCAAAACGTGTCAATATTTTTTCAACGAACTAAAAAAATCATTACGCTCCTTGTAACAATTTTTCTAACAAATAAACAAAACTTGTGTTCAGAATCCGGAGCACAATTTTAAAAAAATTGTGTTCAAATTATGAATCACGAATGAAAGACACCTGAGCTTACTGTTAAAAAATTTCTGCTTTGAAAAGTGTGAATAAAACATTGTTTCTTTGGATCACAGACGACTTTAAAACTAGTCGCTTTGCTGTTTTAATGTGAAAATTTTTCAAAACATTCCTTTGTTTTTTTTTGGTCAAAACTGTCTATAAAACTAGTCGCTTTGCGTTCTATTTTAATTTCAGATAATTACACTGTCTCATACGTGATGTATATCACTTTAAAACTTTGTTTTCGGAAGCTCTGGATATCCTAACAGTTTAAATTCTTGTTCAGTACTTGTATTGTTTATTTTTCTCTTCAATTTTCCTAACTCAAACTTCTGGGACACTATTCTGAGACTCACACAATAATTAAGAACTAAAGAACTCTTGTTGTTAAACGAAGTGTCAGATTTTTTTTCGACCGGATGATTTTTGATTGAGTTTCTGTTTCGAAGTTTTTTCTCAGATTTTGTTTTTTTTAGGCAAAAAGCAAAATTATCACCGCAACTAATATTCAAAGAGAGTTAAATAATTTTTCCTAGTAGGAGTTCAAGTTTTAAAACGCTATTTGATTTGAATTTTGGAACAATGGCATAGAAAATAGCTAATTATTTTTACTCACAAAAGAAAACAAAACTGAATTCCATATTATTTGAAATTATCTCCATGATTTTTTCTGTTTTTCTTTTTTTTCTGGCAGATTTTACAAACTCAAAAAAAATTAACCGCAAATAGCCTTCAATCTTTCAATTTTTTAGCAAAAATTTAGTTAACCTAATCTTATTGTCTACGTTCATTTAAGTAATTTATCTCGTTTTTATCGCAGAATTTTCATCGAAAATCAGAGTACCCGATTTCAATTTTTAAACGCAGCAAGTTATACATGCTGCATACGCACAAAAAAACTGAAAAGAGTTCTTCTTCTTTTCCTTTTTGCTTTATTTTTTATAACAGATATGAAAATATGTTTTATCAAAACTTTTGAGACCGCTTTTTTGTTCTCTCATTCAGTTCAAGTTAATTAGCTTCATCTGTAACTCGTCTTTTTTGAAACAAGTTTTATTGCATGCGAACGAGTCCTTAAAAGAGTTTCTGAAGTAATTTTAACCAGAGAGTGCTTTTGATGCGCTTGATGCGTTTATTTCTCTTTTTTGTTCCGATTTTCAATCCGACTAAAGTTCTGTTTTTTGTACTCGAGCGTGTTTGAGACTTAAAAAACTAATTGAGTGAGCTGATTTTACCTTTGAAAAAACTAGCTTGAAAATTGAATTACGGCTCAATCATTTTTTATTTCTATGCTTTTCTTCAAATAATGCTTTTGGGAGCACCTTTGCAATTAATTTAAATCAGTCGACTGCTGTAAAAGTAGCACACATTTTTTCGGCTTCTGTAATTAATGCAGAAATGTCAAAAAGAATAAAAGTAAGTTTTCAGATTTTCATTTTTTTGCCGTTTTCTTTTTTATCGAAGGGATTTTAATTGGGCTCAAGATATTTTTTTTTCTAGAGAATAACAAATTTTCCTGAAAAAATTTTTTTCGATCCCTTTTAATTTTTTTGGAAATGTTGTGTTGGAGGTAACTGATTCTGCTGTTAAAAAATCAATCCACGCCATTGTTTTTTTTCTGAACAAAAGTGACCGTTAAATTAGTAAAAACGAATACGAACTTAGATAAATTCGTGTACTTGTGAAGGTTCTTCACTTTTGAGTAATCAATCAAAATTTCAACTAACGTGAACTCACCTTTCAGTTTTTTGAACCAGCTTCAAAATCCATCTGGGTATCTTGGTTGCTTCTGGTCTGTGGTAAACATAAGTGACGAACACGTTTATCACAACAGACATCGCAATATACAACACCGAAGTCAACACGTACTCTCCCAAAATAGGGAATCCAGACTCTTTAGCCGGCGGTAGAAGTTCAGACAGAACCAAGAGCTCCAAAATTTGAGACAAAAGAATAGCCGTGCAGAATGGAAGACGTTCTCCGCTTTCAATTGGCAGAAAAAATGTACAAACCGACAGAAAACCGAACAGCGAGCACGGAATTATTACCACTATTATATAAAATAACGGCTGTCGTTCTAACACGAGAGTATACCGTATAGCGTCGAACTTTAAAACAGATTTCCTTCGGGTGGTCTCAACTTCTCGTGTAACGAGCTCGTATGTCACGGGCGTTCGCAGGTTCCAGTGTCCGTTTTGCTCGAAGTGCTTCATGGGTAAAACGCCGACTTCGCCGAATGAAGGGTTAACTTTCATTCGGTACTGATTGTTCGGAGAAACCCATTTTCCCATGGTGATGTTGCATACCTTTAAACATTTTAAACTTATACTCATAAACTAAGTTGTAAGTTGTCGACTTTACTATCAAACGTAGCCAGAATTACATGATTTTTTTCAAATATTATCTAAGTCGAGGAATTTTGAAGTATAATTTTTTTCTGACATAGAAACAGGTTTCTGCACATGAAGCCCAACAGTTAGGAGAATAATTTAGAAGGCTCTGTGATTATCGAGGCATTTTGGGATATTTTTGAAGAGGGGGATTGGTCAATTTTTGATCAGCGTTTGATGTTTCAGTTGAACTGCTTTGTGAACTGATTGATTTTAAAATCTCAGAGAAAGTTTTGGCTACCGTTTGGGAAAGCGGTTTGGTCCTAATCTTGCAAGTGTCTAGTGCTTACAGAAAAGACAAATAAGAAAATTTGTAGAAATCAAAACCGACCACAAGAGCCTTAAGAGTCTTTTTTTTTGGGTGGACGAGGAACATTTAAGGCTAGTGTGGTATGGAGGGAACGGCCTCGTTCAGAAAACTTATCCCCATTTGCAACTCTGGCAACTTGCAAATGGGTATTATGGGTATCAAATAAGGTTTCTTCTTTCAAATTGAGTTTTACGAACGTATGGCATGTGAGAATTATATTTTTCAAATGATGGACAAATATTGAACATAAAGTATCTTTTCTGGTCGACAATTTCTAACCTGTACGTCATATGGGAAGTAGATGAGGTGGAATGTGCACGTGACCTTGACATTGACACTGGTACTTGTACTGATCACCAGACCCGAGTGCTCCACGAACTGGTATGAGTTGCTGCTAAACTGCACAGCGACGGCGTCAAACAAATTGATGTCAGGGGTCCACACAGAGCCCGGTGGCAGCTGAAACACGACTAAGGCTTGTTATTCTCTTTTAAAACAATTCAGCTTTGTATGAAAAAAAATAAAAAACAAATCAAATTCCAGTAAAATCAAAAGACTCATGACACGTTTGGCATCAAAGTATTTAGAAAAAAGTCAACTGAATCTTGAAACTGTGCCTAGGATCAACCACAGGCTTTCACCTTTTTTACCGAAGAAAAACAGAAGAATATGGCGAATGAAAAGTTAAACTGATTTGACTTTTAAACGTTTAACTTTTTTTTGGACTGCTTCCCAGCGATCTCCCTTAGTGCCATCACTGGTACCAGCAGTAGATTTGCTACCATGGCATTTATCATATAAGCTGGCAAAACAAACAAGAGATCTTAATTTTGTCAAAAACGGCACTCTGTAAATCGCTAGTTGCAAGTTTCTGTAACGGGTTCATTCAAATTTCTTGAACTTGTACACTTTATGAATACCGCCTCTACTAACTGTGTCACATATCTAAACCCCTGTAGAACAGGATGTAGACTTTTGGCAGAGGACAACTAACTGACCCCATGCGGCAGTAACCAGTAAACAAATTCACTTTAACTAAACTATAACTGAAAACCAATTTTGAGAATTTTTAAAAAATATTTGTACAATAAGCTTCACAAAAGAGCTTGGTTGAACAGTATCGAAGCTTTTAAAGCAAATTTTACGTTGAAAACCCAGACAAATTGTGTAAATAGGTGTGTTTTCAATTTTTATAAACAATATTGTGTTAATCATTTTTAACAATAATGCAGCAGTCTAACATCCGGTGAACATAGCAACTGAACTGATATCGACTATCAATATCAGGTATATTTTCGAATTTTGCAAGGCAATAAAGTAGATGTTTTCTATTTCTCATTTTTAAAGCAATAATTTGTCTCCTGTACGCTAGAATGAAAGAACCATCAAACTTGAAAATCGCCGCAAAGTCCGACTGGGTTGAAAAGATTCATAGAACCTGAGTTGTTTGTTTTCGAAAGCTGTTTGACTACCCCTATGAACAGTTTATACAATTACAATTCAAAAACACCGGATATTTCTTTTTCAATCATCAGTTGACGAATGGAAACCGGTTATCTTTGGTGAAAGATTATTCTTACAGTTTGTATATGCAGTTTTAATATCTGACTTAGACTAATTTTGATTGAGCAACCATATATAAAAATCCATAAAAAGCTTGAATTTTTAAACTATTTTTACCAACTTTGAATAGGGACTTGGTTTTTCTCTTTCTCTTGATTGTTCTGGTTTCTAAATCATCAAGAGCTTTTTGACTGCGCACAGTAATTGCAGTTCGAGAGCCATCCCTAATTTTACAGAACAGTTTAAGATGACAGTTCTGAGTTTTTGTTCGTAGCTTCTATCATAGACGACTTTTTTTTAGCTCAGCTTGCTGTTTTAAAAAAAAATTCTTGAGAAAAGTGGGCTTCTCTAGCATCACTCGATGATGATATATTTTGTTTTTGTTCTCGAAGTTCCTAAAATTTATCATGAAGGTAGGGGAAAACTTTAAGTTTCAAGAAAATAACCCGTGTTAAGAAAATGACGAGCTTTTATCTCTGCACGGAAAGTATATACTCAAGCTTTTGAAGAACTCGCATATACTTTCAGTAGTATTGTAATCCGCCGTGTGTCCTTAGGGGGGGGGGTCTTTTCGACGGTAGGGGTCTTTGGGGTCCTACCAAAAGTAGGGTCCAAAAGGACCCATCTTTTTTAAAGACCCCAAAGTACCCTGCCCGAAATAAAAAGACCCCTCTCTAAGGACACCCGACAGACAAAATACTTTGGTATTTATTTTCGCGCGGTGGTTAAATTTAATCCCTTCCAAACTTTCCCACTGTTCAACTAAATAAGTTTGAGACCCCATTAAAAAACTGACCTGCTTGAGAAGGAGGAAGGACGTGACAAATAATAAGAGGGTAAGAAGGTAAAGAGGACTTGATAAATAATAGATAAAGTAACATATAAAAAAAAGAAAAAAGAAAATAAAAACGGAATGTTAACAAGAGTACGGATAGGAGAGCAGAGGAAGGGTTTACGGCCACATCCGCATGTCGTCTTCGGGATCCGACCAAGGGACATGAAGAATACTGACTAGACGCTCCATTTGAAATTTGAAGCGCCACTCAGTACTCTCGAATCCCGCACCCAGAGACTCGCACAGCCAGAAATTTTCCATGCTCCCCACATCAACACACACATATTCAAATATGCCCTCCTTTTTCTCAAATGCAACCTCAATGTAATGCAGCTTAAAATTCGCTGCAGTGGTGGCCGGGGTAAACTCTACGGTCACACCAAAGATATTTTTGCCTTCGTGAGTTCCAGGTCCCACATAAGGCAAATCAATGGGTGACTCGTGGAGACCACCAAGGGAATATCCATCTAAACACATGAAAATAGGTTGAAATCATTAGTTAGAAATAGGAGTGAGTAAGTGGTATCTAGAAGGTTACTTTCATTTCCACTGGCTTGAAATTCAGCAGGTCGGAGAAGTGCTGGAAAAATTTTAAAAAAATGAAATTGGAAAAACGTAGAGTTACTTCAAAAGACTTGGAAATTATTCATGAAATTTTTATTACTTTGAAAAAAACCTATCCGGAAAACACCAACCGTCGAAATTATTTCCTAGCTGCATGTTCACTGTTCTTCTTCTCAACTACTAATGATATAAATTACGATGTTGCTATCAAGTTGAGACCCTATGGGGGTCTGATCGGTATAGACAATTCTTCTTTGGATAAATATTTAAATGATTCGAAAATTTTACGAATGCATGCTATTTTACACGATGCCGCCGGTTTTGTCCGCGAAGTTTATAACACTGGTCCCACATACTGCTATGTTTTACCATGGAAATGCAACAGTAGTTTGATTGGTCACTTGAGTGGAATTACGTTTTGTTTGTATATCAAACTGAAAAAACCGAAACTCTACCATTTATTAGAATGCTGAAGGAAAAATCAGTTGTGGTGGATTTTGAGGGATTTCGACACCAGAAAAACACATTTATAGTAAAAGAATTAGCTATAACAACTTCCGACTACAGTGATTCCCTAGTTTTTCTACCTCCAGTTAATTTCAATTCCCTTCCAAAATCTGAACAAAAAGCCTACAACTGGCTGACAAATTATTTGCACGGACTTCATTGGGATAGCGGTGATTATTTATACCTGAATTTGAACCAAATCATTCAAAGTTTTGTCTTAAGAAACCCCAATGCTGTATTCTACGCCAAAGGAAAAGAAAAAGCTGATTTTTTATCCAAATACTTAGACCGTAAAGTTGTGAATCTTGACGATTTGGGCTGTCCACGAGTCGAACAATTATATTTCAAGAATTTTGTGAATTGTAACAAACACCTACCGCACCATAACTCTAAAAATCATTGTGCATTAAAAAAGTCGAAAGCGTTCTTTGATTGGTTGAAAAATGAGTGTCAACAACGAGCGTCAGGGGAAAGTGGAGACATACATATCTCCAAATTCAGTTCTTTGTGCTTGGATGACACCAGAAAGTAACATAAAGATTTCATTGACCAGGATTGAACGCATTGATTGTAGAGGCCAAGTAGTTCAACGAAAAGAACAAGTTACACTTTCTGAAGAAGAGTTGTGCACTTTGAGGAGGTTCTTCCCCGTGATTGACCAATTCATCTACTTTCAACGATTCAAATACATCAGTAATGTTACCCAGCAAGCGCGGTCTTTGTCTTCCCAAGCTAGTCTTAGTGCCCAAACGTCAACCAGGAGTTCAAATGGATCTAACCAGCAGTGAACTACCCAATGAGATTCAAAAAATAATAAGAGAAGATTCTGTGAAGAAAATTGTGTATCATGCCAAAACTGATCATGTCCCAGCCAATTATGTTTTGGAAATGCACTATGATTTTGATGATGATAATAAACCGAGTGTCTATACAGGTTATACACGATATGAAATTTATTACTGTTCAGATGCTTAATTAATTTTTTTTATATATGATATATATTTTTCATTCTGCAAGTTCGAGAGTGAGGGAAAGCGGTAGGGAAATTGAAATGAATGACACAGTAGTTGACGAGACTGATGGAACTATAGTTACCGATTTTGTGTATGACGAAAATCATATGGAGAAAAAATCATGGAAATTTTGCAATAACGTGAATGTACCACGGTCTGAAGTAGTTTTCATGTCACAAATGGTGTTAATTCTGATTTTATTGGCTTTTTGTATTTTTAAACTTTCATTAACGCAGTTAACTTGTGAAGAAACCTCAGTTTGGTTTTCAATTTTATCGGGTTTAGTTGGTTATGTATTACCAAATCCAAGAATATGAATAAAGTTATTGATACATCTACGAGACTTTTTTTAGCCATCGTGGGCCCCTCGGGTTCTGGAAAAACAGAGCTGATATTCAAATTGTTGAAAGGAAAAACATTTTATCCCAAATTTCAAAGAGCCTTATACTTTTACAAAGAGATTCATCCTCTTTATAGTGAAAAATCCAATACCCACAGCATTGATCTAACTTTCATAAAATTCAATGGCTTTGACAGTTTGCGAAACCTTGAAAACATTCTTCTAGTTTTTGATGATTCATGCGAAGAAATCTATAACGATAAAGACTTTGTCAAACTTGCAACAGCAGGAAGACACCGAGGACTAGATGTAATATATGTTAAACATAATTTGTTCCAACAAAGCAGATGGTCTCGAACAATTGATTTAAACACATCACACATCATTCTGTTCAAATCACCTCGTGATATTCAGCAACTTGATCATCTTGGAAGACAATTGAACAACACTAAATTTTTGAGACACTGTTATCAGCTCGCTACAAAAGACACATACGGTCATCTTTTAATCGACTTGGATCCGCGTACATCCGATTGTTTGAGATATTGTTCAAACATTACACCACCTGGTCCCTCAATTTTTTACT